GCCTTCGTTCTGGATAATCTATCATAGCAAGAGAAACGGAAATGAGGGGGGAGGGGTACTGTAGGGAGGGAATGGAAGGAGATGAATGTGACAGGAATACATAATATATTGAAAGGAAATGTCTGTATGAAACCCAACACTGCTTACAATGAGTACAAGCCAATAAAAAAATATCAAGAACAAAGAAAGACTTCAGAAACATTTTTCAAGACGTTAGTATTAAAATTCAAGTTAAAAGACATCAGAAAATGACAGCCATCCACAGAGCACAATAAAACCTCTCAATCCAACATGTACAGTACCCACAAATGTTTAAGTGTTTTCTGTAACTAACACTCAATTTGAGAGTCTGAGACTTGAGAGGCTTTATTCTTTGCCACCTGACACAAAAGCTCACTGCATATCCCTACAGCGGATGTTAATTCTGATACATAATGAAAAATATGCCATGAAGGGTGAGCGCACACTTACCCCAAACTAAACTATTAAAGTGCACATGTGTACACACACACACACACACACACACAAAGAAAAAAGAAAGACAGGCCACCAACATCATAACTGCTTCAACTATGAATATCCATAGCATTAATTGTTGTTTAATTAAAGAAACATATAGGCTATTAGCAGTGCTCTTTTTTTTTTTTTTTAAGAAAACGTCTGGGAAAATGGTCCTTTCAAACCAAAGGAAGAAACCTATCAAATGCTCTATAAAATAAGCCACCTGCTGGAATCCACAGGAAAAAATAATTTATTCCATGAAACGGTTCTAATGCCAAAAGAAAATCATAAAGTCAGAGTGCGTGTGACCCTCTAAGCCATGGTTGGAAACTTGCTGTGCTGTACAAATTACTCATGCTCAAACTTGGCTTATGCTTTAACAACATACTTGAAAGACCCATGACAAAATATAGACACAATGTTGTGCTCATGGTAACGCCAACATGAGCAGATCTAAATATATACATTGATGAAGACTGCAAAACCACCACTTTCACATGGTTCCGTGTTTATACAAGGAGATAATCCCATTATTTAACTAGAAAAAATGCTCACAAACCCAAATTTCTGTTCCCTAAAATATATAAATACTTCTTAAAACAACACTATGTGAAAAGAGTTTTTGCATTCGCCCTGAGAACCACGACATATGTGTCAATGTCTGGCCCATAATCGTTGCCATGTAATATTCAAAAGCTTCCCTTCTACCTAGGCCAAGATTAAGTTAAATTAAAGGGGAGGAAGGGAGTATCACAGGGTCTATTAAACAATTCCATACATGCCACCTACTTTCTAGAAAACACAATACTTTTGTCCAACTCCTGCTCACACCATCTTAACTTTTAAAGCAATGAGTGGAAAGCAAACTAAGTGGCCTATTGGATGTCAAACATAAAACCCACAAAAAGAAACTAACCATAGACTCCCTGTGATCTAGAGGTAGAACCTTCCACAAGTCTTACCACTGGGTTTTTTAAGTAAGAATGAACACACCCTTGTGAGCTCTATTGTAAAATCTTGACCTTTAATGAAAAACACCAACTCTTAAGTTTGGCAAAGACTACTCTACTATAGTTAGGACTTTCAATTTTTATATTACAGTAGTCATCACTGTCAATTATCACCTATGAACACAAGCATCCAGACAGATTCACTACCAGATCTCCAGACTTAAAAAAAAGACCTTGTTATGAAATTTTTGAACAAGTGGCCTACATGTACTATTTATGAGAGCACTTTAATATGTTTTAATTGGTGGATATGCTAACTTCAAGGTAATCCACACCAGGGACACAAAACGAAATCTAACTACTCTAAGATGATTCTGTAAATTCAGATCAAGAAAAAGAAAGTCAAAACAGAGGGCAAAAGGAAAGAACATTATCACGGGAGAACATGCTATACATGACAGACAGATAGGCCACATGTTCCTGTACTTTTTGAAGACAACAATTAATCATTCTGAATCTCTAGGCACATGGGTGAATAAACAGAGGTTAAGGAACCTTCCTGAGGTCACAGAGCTTGAATCTAGCCTTCATCTTTTCCCTCAGATGCCATGGATTTTGTTTCCCTACTAAGCAAAACGTATACAGCATTTAGAAAGAAGCCGTTTTAAAACATCGTGAAAACTGTCAAAACAACTCCCACCAACACTTCCAAATAAAACTGCTGTTACATCAAAGAGCATGATGAGGGAAACTGAGTTACAGGTTGCGTCTGGCAGAAGTTAAAGAGAAATCTCGAGAACTATAAATGGAAAGTCTTTATCTGTTTGGTCAGATAGCACAAGGGCCAGCACTTTTTAAGCAGGGAGCTCCACTTGACAAGTTCAAAGACAACAACAAAAAAAATCATCCTTCAAACCATGCAATTTCCTGCAAATGGACCACTCTCTTCATTGTCTTTGAAGACAGAGCCCAGCCTGGTTAAGGGGCCTTTGAAGTCACACAGAAAGCATACCTATGTAATTAAAAGGCCACAGCACCCATTCAAATGAGCCAAACTGGACATTAAGGATATAGCAAGGAGTGTGGACAGAATAGATGGAGTAGCATGGCCACTCACCAGGCTTGCCTCCACTATCTCCAACCTTGGAAGCCAAGGGTAGCCCATATATACATTAACGGAAGGCTGTTATTAGTACTTGATGACTCTCACAAAGTATCCCTACACATGAATCTGAATAGGAATACGTAATAACACGAATACCCAAGACAGCATAAATGTATATTCAAACATTTATACACTCCCCCCCCCGAATCATTTGCATTTTTGCAAACATTAGGTGTTTTACCTCCTGTTTTCAGATTCGATATATATTTTCAAAAACATGTGTCTTTCAAACTTATTTGATGTGTTATTTTCTAATCCACTGTCCTTATCAATTATTCTGATAATGTTTGTACATCTTTTTTTTTTTTTAAACCAGGTTAGAATCTCATCTTACATCATACACTGTATCAGGGTTCCCTATTTCTTTAAATCTCTCAACTGGTCTTTTCATGAGGACCACGTTTTTCTTTATTATATTTTTATTACTTAAAACAATTTTTAAATTTAAATATATTTTGATCATATTCTCCCCTTCCCCCATCCTATTCCCCTCCCTACCCACTCAACTTTATGTGTTTTTCTCAAAAGACAAAATGCCAATACAATAACAAAAGTAAGAGAACAAAATAAAACAGCATCCAGAAAGAGAAAAAGAAAGGAAGGAAGGAAATAACAATAACAAAATGTCAAATTGTAACCAAATAAAAGCACAAAAAAAAAAAGGAAAGAAAAAAGACTGTGGATTCCATTGTGTGTTGCTCAACTGTTCCTGAACATGAGGACTGTCCTGAAGTGGTGTCACTCTACAGAAAACTGGTATTTCCCCTCAGAGAAGGTATAGATAGCAGTTCAGTCTTGGCACCTAATGGCTGGGTTTTCATTCATTCATTCATTCATTCATTCATTCATTCATTCATTTTTAAAATATAACAATGTATGATAGAACAAAAACTATCATATCAAAGTTAGACAAGACAAACCAACATAAGGAAAAAGAGCCCAAGTGAAGGCACAAGAATCAGAGACCCACTCAATCATACACTTGGGAGTCCCATGAAAACACTAACCTGGAAACCAAAATGTAAACACAGAGCATACCCCCTGCATGCTGCCTCGGTCTCTGTGAGTTACTACGAGCTTTGTTCTTGTTGACCTAGAGGGCATTGTTATCCTGAGCATCACACTTTCTAAGACTTGGCTGCAACTTGGGCCATATTTGAAGTTTCCCTATTGGTCCCATATTGTGAATAAGGGTGTATTGTCCTATTCTGTGTGTCACACTAAATGGCACTTGATGACCTGGATGACATGGTTTATGATGCTACCTTTGATCCGTTGGATAAGCTCATGGTGGCTAGGCTTCCTTCTGTCGGTATTTTTGTGAAAAGCTGTAAAACAACTGTTAAAACAGTTGTGTTTTTTAAAAAAAAAAAACTTACTGAGATTTCCATGATTATACATTTTGAATGGACCTCCACCCAACCCCTTCCTTTCCAACTCTTCCTCCACCCCCCTTCCACCACCTTCCACACTCAACTTTGGGTACCATGTTTGAGACCCACTGAGTCTATCTAGTGCCACCAGTAAGTAGATGCATGGGTGTCAGGGCAGGTACTCAAACATGAACAGCCTTATCCAAAAATGACAGACTCTCCCTCCCCCCCCCCGGAATCCTCTTCATCACAAAATTTCCATGCACTAGTTTTTGCATTTATTCATATCTCAGATGAGCAGTACTGAGACAGGCATTGCAAGCGACCTGGAACCATTCCTTTATTAGGATAGAGGAAGTAGGTCTTCCTAATGCTGTCTATCTACCACCTGGTTTTCCGTATTGACAGGGAAGTATGGGTTACATCCAGATGTTACTTAAACGACCCTCCTGTGAGTGTTTCTATTACAGAATATAAGTTCATACTACATTCCTTGGTGTAGAGAGGACGTGTAACTCACCTTGGAGGTGACGTTGGGTCTTCAGTAAGCAAGAGTTTGCCAGTATGACATGAATTTCAGGTAGAGAGGAAATCATCCATATAAAATTTATAATTGATTAGATACACGGGAATTCAGGAAACAATAGGACAAGGTCAGTGTGTCTGATAAATTCTAGCCTATGGAAGAGACCATCTATCTTTCAGATTTTTCCAGTAACTGTCGAAAATAAGAGGGAATGGTAACTTTACTGCAAGGCAAAGGTGTTGATAATAGGGAATAGTAATGCTTTCAGAAGTGCATTAAGAAGAAAATAGAGAAACTGCGACCCTAAAAGTATAAACTCAGGCGGGAAAACGTCCACAGGCCCAGGCTGGTAAGTTCCATTATGGAGAGCAAGTATGTGGTGGAATAATCGGAGAGGAAGAGAAGCAGAAAGGTCCCTGTGCTATGGAAAGAGGCAGGACAGAAAAGATGAAGGCAGAGTAGGCTTATATGGGAGACCTTCTTGCCACTGGAGGCTATGGTGTAGTCTGGGCGCAGGCTGCTGCCAATGGCCACATCTGGGTCTGTGGTCCTACCACAGCCAGGATCTATGAGGATATCCAAGGCCCATGCTGCCACCAAAAGGCTACAAGGATGCCCAGTGTCTGGGCTCCTACCTGTGGCCATGTAGGTGGCCACCACCAGAGCCATACCGATCTGGGTGGTCTGTGCTGCCACATGGGGCCATGGGGCCGTCCAGGCCTGAGCTGCTGCTGAGGGCTATGTCTTGGTCTGTAGTCCTACAGCAGCCTGTGTCTATGTTAACATTCGTGGCTCATGTTGCCACCAAAGGCCACACCAGAAGCCTGGTGTCTGGGTCACAACCTATGGCCTTGTTGTTATCCGAGGGCCATGTCACTGTTGGAGCCATAGTGGTCTGGGTGGCCTGTGCTGCCACCCAGGGCCCTAGTGTTGTACAGATCTAGACTGCTACCAAGGGCCATGTCTGGGTCCAGGGCTGTATGTGTGGCTGTATATGTGTCTGTGTGTATGTGTGTGAGTCAAGTTACCCAAGAGATTGTCTAATAATTCTGATGACGTAAGCTGCCTTTACAATGGAGTGATTTGGCCAAATTGAGTAGTCAACCTTCACATCACCAAACATGAGACAAACAATATTTTATACCACGTCCTACCACCCAGTGTGATGTGATCAGGTGTCCACCTATGCATAAAACTCTTGTCAACAGACACTTGCAATTATTTTGTAGTCACTGTCTCCAACTGCATCTCAGGGATGCAGAATTTGGCACTGTGGAAGCCCTTTTCTTACTCTTTATAATTTTTCATTCTCACTTACAGTACCCCTCCCAACAACAGATTCCCAAAAGGAGTGTACCAAATGAGGAAAGAAAAAGGCAGTAAACACAGATTAAAAGGAACTTGGTTTTTGTCTAATGCAAGACAAAATCCTTATACTGACCCACACATGCAAGTGTGTATACACACACACACACACCCATGGCGATGAGTGGAGTTAGCTGCTTCATGAGGAAATCCATTCATTAATGTGTTGCACAGACTGTTGAGCTACCACAATGCCTGATTTTTGTTTTACTTGTACCAGATAGAAATATGTTCAATATTTCTTCTTCATTCTCAAAGATTCAAATGGCATGCCCACATTGCAGCCAACGTTATCAGTCAGAGCTGAGCAATGGAGACCTTTATACAAATTCATCTATTTTACAGAGAATCGATCTCTATCTGTTATGCTTGTGGCCAAGCTCCCTCAGAGAACTGAACAGCTGCCGGGCCTCTGAGGAGCACCCTCCATATGTGGACAAGACACCACAGTTGAGGCTGTCACCAACAACCTTTCACCTACACTGAGCTCAGTCACTCACAAGAGTGTTTGAGTCATCCTATAAACCACTGCAAATGTCCTCCGTGTGAATTGTTAATCCATAACATACTGCTTTTTTAACTGGAACTTAGTAGAACTGGCATAAAAAGAACAGATGTTATCACATAAATAATATTAATAAAAGCCAAATTAGATTCACATACGAAACTATTATAAACACATGTAGCCGTTTCTTAATTTCACAGCAACGTCAAACAAATGCACTGTGTACAATGTCTGCAAATTTTTAAGACTATTTTTATGGAGCAGAATTTCTTGATAGGCCAGTGACACAGTCATAAATATGAAAGGTAAATCTACAAAAAGAGAATCAACAAATTGGAAATGTTGCATCACACAACAAATAGCAGTTTTTGTACCAAGAATATCTGAAAGACTTCCAGCAAAGAGACCTTCTAGCAAAGTTACAGGATACAAATAAGCTGTTGAAAAGGTACACGTGGAGATGCATTCAACCTGACTAGTGACAAAAGATAAATCAAAATAGAGTTATCTGCATCTTACTTTCAGGTTTAGAATATTGATTTTAAAAAATCAAAAATAATCAATAGTCAAAAATAATCGATTATCTGGGCACTGAGGTCAGAGAATCATAAGCTCTAGGCTAGACTGGGTAAAAAAGCTATACTGCCTTGTGTTTTTTAAGTAAACAGTGGCCCTTTCTGTTTCCATTATTTACCTTTAACCATGGATAGGAGTGGAGAAAAGAGAAGGGAATATGGGGAGAGATAACTAAGAACAAGCCATGTCAAAACCTGCCTCTGTAGGAGCTCCCTAAAATATATGTGTACAAATATACAAAACATTAGTTTTTGTGCAATTGCCCTACAATGATGGCACAATGCCCAAAAACCTACCTGGTGATATATATCTACTGGGTATAAATGTCATGGGAGTATTCAACCACGTTATTTTGGGCTGTAAGGCCCACCCCATGAAATGGAACTTATATCTGACATTGTTAAGGGGGCCAAGAACCCATGGGCAGACAATAGGCGATAAGACTTGGGAGATAACAGAGGACTCTTATTCTGCTAAAGGGATATAGAAGCAAAATCACTATGAACTGCTATACCTACAGATCAGTTTCTCTCTCAACTCTCATCAGAGAAGCTCCTGCTCACAGTAGATATCATTTGACACAGAGACAACCAACTGGCCAATATGCAGAGAATCCAGAGAATGTAGAGTGCTCCATGCTAAATAGGACAGTCATCACACACCTCCCCAAAAGGCTCTGGGATCTTCATGGAAAAGGAAGGTGGAAATTGTAAGAGCCAGAAGTGGTGAATATCTTTAAGAGAACACTATTTGTCAAACACAACAGGAAAATAGCACATATGAACAAATAGCAGTTGTCACAACACTAGCACAAGGCCTGTACAAGATCAAGCCAGACAAAATCCCATTATGAGAGGAGAGGATATCAACATGAAATCAAACCATTAGCTGAGGAGCTTTTGGTATCTGGTAGTTTCTGGGAAAGGAAGAGTCAGTTGTCTTTACTTACATACCCCCTTGTATATCAACCATACTACAGGGAAGGCCCCACAGCCAACAGTAGTTGGGCAACATAACCTGGACTAAATCGGGGGAGGGGGGACCTCAAGCTGGGTGCACAGGTGAGAGTGAATTAGTAGGAGCAAATATGCTTACAAGAAACTGTATTAAATTTTCAAAGAATCAATAAAAAATATTTTTAAATAAAAAAGTCAATTTAAGAAATGGATACTTCAAATACCTATCCTGGTAATATAAGCTGGCATAAATCTTCTAGAACAGAACTTGACAATACTTAACTTTTGCCTAACCTAATAATATCACTTCTAAGAATCTAGCTAAAAAATAATAATTGAGTAAATGCATGAATAAAGTCAGCTTAGATCACAGAATTATTTTAGTCAGGGCAGCTAGCAACCTAGTGTATATCGATAAAATATTTTCTATCTAAAAACTTATATTGACTACAAATAGACATTGGTTGAGTATACACAGAAGTGTTAATATGTGCAGAAGTCTGCACAAAAGATTCAGAGAACAGATGATAAAATTGTATGTACTCCTATTTCTCTTCATTTAAATAAGTACATACATCATGTATGATACATTGTTTTGGAGTATTCACGGAGAGGGTATTTTTTTCTTTTATTTCATTTTCAGCCCTTTGTCTTTTCCACACTCAAATACACAAGAGAAATTTGAAGAAAATAATACAGATGCTCAAATTTTAAGTTTCCAAACAGAATTTTAAAATCTTGGAACAGGCAAGGTTCTGTTCTTTCCTTTAATTTTATTGAATTGTAAGACACTTGGCTTTGAGTATTAAAACCAGAAACTCAAGACTCAGAACAATAAATGTTCTCATAGGTAAACATCAAAGCCTATCTATAAGAACAAATTAACTACTTTGGCAGGACACAGATGTTGAGC